ATTGTGTGTTAGGATTCCAACACAAGAAGGATAAAGAGCCATGCAAATTTTTTTTATTTCCTGAGCTGATGCTGAAAATAACTCAGAGGAAAGAGCTTCTTTTGAGATATAGGAGTCCTAACCTTCACCCTCTAACTGTACATAATATCTTATCAGTGCTATGACAAGATGGAAATGTTTATTAGGGCTATTAATTTATACTTTAATCATTACATTAAGATCCAACAAGAGCACCAGATGGTACATGCAACCAAAGAGAGATATCTTCTAGACAGGGTCTGATGATTTGTAACACAAAAGCCATTGCAGGATTTTAGAGGATTTGTTATTTGGGAGCTTGTTGAGCCCAGTTTTGTGTTTAAAATGGGGAGAAAACAAACAAAAACTTAATACTTTCCTTCATCAGAAATAAGGATCTACTGATTAAGAAGAAATTATTTTGAAGTTTACTTTATTTTGAATCCTGGTACTTGAGGAAAACCTGAAGATAAATCCAAACATGTCAAGTGATGGGGACTTCTGGGCAAAGTTTCAGGCGGCAGCCGTCCACACTGGCTGATTCCATTTCCTCTCTTTGAAATGCTCAGTGTGCAATCCAGCTTCTTCCCCCAGAGCACCAATGACATTCCTCTTATCAAGGTTAGAAAATGACCTCCTAAATGCCAAACTCAATCATGTCCGTTTTATAAGCCTTGGGTCAAGTGGTACCAAATCTGTGAGGTCATCTTTAATACCTTACTTGGGGTATAATTCAGACAAAGCTTGGATCAACAAAACCATGTTGCCCTATAATTGCGGCCTCACTGGACAGAAGCTCCTGGGAGTAGGCACCTCCCTTTTACCTTTGAAGGCACAGGGCTTTACACATGGTCAAGACTGTGGAATAAATAATCTGAGGGCTTGCCAAGTTACCCAGGAAAACCCAATAATCATTCATTTTCTTTGAAGTGCTTATAGTAACAACAAAAACAACAGAGGAAAAACCTAGAAAGGTTCCAAGGGAAGTTCTTGGTTACAGAATTAAGAAATCTGCTACAATTTCAAGAGGATTTGCACACTATTTGCACATATTTGCACACTATTATTTTGCTAATTTGTCTATAACTCTTTAATATTAAAGGCCCAAATTTACTAACTTCCCTACAAAAATCAAACTTCTAAAATAATACTAATAAATGAGCACTCATTAACCTGCGTGCCAGTGAGAGAGAGTTGTCAGCTAGGTATTTTAGGATAAATATGTTTGAAACATTACAGCAAAGAGAGCTTATAACTATACTCAAAAGGCACCAGAACGCTTGAGTTTCTCACAATCTTGCTCCCAACAAAACTGCTTTTGAGAACAGAGCAGTAAGCAAATGGCGTCCTATCCGGGGACATGTAAAGCAACTGTTTCCATGGCCAGAGGAATTCCCTTCAACCTCGTTTACCTTCAGATTTGGCTATTCACCTTTCCCTGCTGGAGGGCTTCCCAGAGCCACTCCTTACCCAAATTCAGCTCCCCGCCTCTGGTTTCTCCTACTCACTCTTTTTTTTTTTTTTTTTAAAGATTTACTTATTTATTTGACACAGAGACACAGCCAGAGAGGGAACACAAGCAGGGGGAGTGGGAGAGGGAAAAGCAGGCTCCCCACGGAGCAGGGAGCCCAACGCGGGGCTCGATCCCAAGACTCTGGGATCATGACCTCAGCCGAAGGCAGACGCCCAACGACTGAGTCACCCAGGCGCCCCTCTCCTACTCACTCTTGCCTGAGGTCAGAAACTCAATTAGCAGAATCACGCAGAGGGGAATGGGGACGGAAAGAGAGGAGGGATAGGAACGGTGAGGAGAAAGGAGGGGAAGAAAATCCACTCCTCACTAAATCCCAACCACCCAGCCCTTTCCTTCTCCTTATCACTCCCAATGCCTTGCAGTCTTTCTCAAAGCAAACCCAGCCCCCAATTTCCTCATTCTTCTTTAGTCACCTCACCCTTTCCACAAACACTGCTGTCTCAGACCCAGGGGATTTGCTCCTCTGACATGGTGGTGCTCAACCCCACCCGGCTGGTCAAAGCTCCTGCCCCAGCACAAAGAAGCACTGGGAGGAAGAATTCACCTAGGAAAGGGGAAGGGAAAGTTTGCGTACAGAAATGGCTAATATAACGTGGGTGCTAACCTGGATCCTCTACCAACATTTCCAAAACTCTTTCTTTGGGCAATATACTCTAAGTTCCAAATTATCATGAACTTTTAGAACACAATCCTATTTGTAACTTGGGGACTGCATACAATTATTTCCTGATAAATTACAAACATGTTATGAATTAGTAAATATTAAGCTGTTGGATTCATCAAACATCTGTACTCTAAAGGTGACAATATGAGCCACCCCAGGCTTGGCAATGTCTGTTTACTAATCCAGAATCTGTTGGTTATACACGTGAACTCTGCAAAACTAGTAAGTCTCTGTGAACCAGTCCCCTATGAACATCCAAATTCTCTTCCCTGAGGATCGAGAAACTGTTAAGACACTTTTTTATTCACTCCAGCAGATGAATCTTAAATAGGGTTTATTTATGGGTTTTTTGTTTGTTTGTTTTTTTTATCATTTTAGACCTCTATTGTGTTGGATTTTAAATTAATTACTCCAAGGCAGAGGTCTATGTATTTTCAACAGCCGGACTGCCAAACAGGATTTCCATTTGGGTCCACTCGGCTCACCTGAAATACAGGTCCCACTTCTCATTTACCTTGTTTTAGGGTGTCCAGGTGTCCTCCTCAGGAAGGCTTGGATTTTGCTTTCTCTGTCTATTCAATGTTTTACAAAAGGTACAATCTCCCAGGAAAAGCTGTTAGTCTGACCCTATGACTGAAGGCTTTTGATTCAGCTGGCACATTTCAAGACTCTCGAGCCTGGCTCCCTGCTCCAGGCCTAAACAAAAATCTCTGTGGAAAGCTAATTCAAAAGCAGAGCTCACTCACTCTTTACCAGGCTGCCCTACTTGACAGCCTGTAACCTGTCCAAAGCCGCCCTCGGTTTCCTGTGGCCTTGAGAAAGAACCCTCCTTAAGAATGCCATCCAGCTGCACCGGCTGGCTTTGTACATTAACCCCTTCCAACCTGGTTTCCCATCACCCCCAGAGCAGCAGTGCCCTCACTGCATAAGAAACATATCAGAAAAAGGACAAGTTCCAGACATTTACAGCTGGTGTTAGCAATAATGACAAATCCTTGGGATTTAAGCCTGAGGGCCAATGGGACCGCCAAACCTCCAATTTCAAGAAAAACACTTCATCTTAGCTAAGGATAGCCGTATTATCATAAAGAAGCCAAATTAATTCCTCTTTCACCCAGATACACACAGACACATACACACACATAATATACAAAATCATATTAAAAGGAGGGCAATACCAACAAAACTGTTCCATGGAGAGAAGAACGAGCATGAGAATACATAAATTTTTTTTTAAGTTGGATACTTAATTTCAATTCTCTGTCAAAATATTTACGCCAAGGAAAAGGCTTCTGCCTAGATACTAATGTTCAGAGTAGACAGTTGTAAGCAGAATGGAGTCAGCTAGAGAAAAGTCAGGCAAGGAAGCTAAGTCTTTTATAGCTCAAAGGAGGAATGGCACAGATACAAGTAAAGAAACATGCTAGGAGAGCATTTGAAAGCTAAAAGAAATTAGAACAATTTTACTTGGTACGCTAAGATTTTGCTTGACATTCTTATTTATTCAATTCACCTGATAATCCTGAGCCCCTACCTTGCCACCATATATGTGACTATTTCTACAAAAGCCCCACCGTAAGACCTGAGTACTCAAAGGCTTGAGGTTAGTGACCTAAGAACATGAAGACTTCAAAAAGGGCCTGTGTGCTTTATGTTATACACAAAACACTTTAAATGCATGGTGAAGGCCATCTTTGTGACCACAGAGCAAGAACAAAGCTCCTGCAGTGGCTGTTTACTTTACCTCTTTCTCATTCATTCTCTCACCCAACCAACATCTACTCATCTGTCCAAACCCCCTGTTTGGCCTCATAAGGGATAAAAGATACGACTCAAACTCGTCATGGAGCTTAAAAGTGAATACAGAATATCAGACATACCAATAAACAACTATACCATAAGATGGAGATAAAGGCTGTAAGGATTCCACAGCATAATAGGGAGATCAGAATAGGAAATCAACACTTCCTACTAGGTCTGTAAAAGCTTCATGAAGTCAATGGTTGCTGAGCTGGACTATCAAGGATGGTCAAGGTTTCAATAAGATGGTTGGAATAGGGATACCAGAGGTAGTAAATACATATAAAAAAGTGAGAAAGAAAAGATAGTAACTTTCCATTTCCCGTATTTTTCCTATGTCCATATGAAGCCGGCAATTAGTCTTCAACAAGCAAAATAATCCTCAGAGTATGAAATTTTGTAAATTTAGAGATTTTAACTGACAAGGGCGTCATAGGCAAATGCATGGATTTCAAACTCCACAGATTCCTTTTTCTTTTCTTTTTTTAAAGGAGGCTCCACACCCAGCGTAGTGCCCAGTGTGGGGTTCGAACTCATGACCCTGAGATCAAGACCTGAGCTCATATCAAGAGTTGGACGCTCAACCAACTGAGCCACCCAGGTGCTCCTTAACTTCACACATTTCTTACACCTAACAAATAAACCTGGCCAATTTTCTCCCCTAGATTCCTGCTATGACTTATAAGTTGGTGCCTTGGAGGGCCTGCAACCTTGCTGTTCTAGGTCTCCTTTATACTACCTACACTACCACTGGTTCAAATTCTTTGAATCAGCTACTAAAATAAGTTAACTACTTCAAGGCTGCACTGAAAATACCCATACTGACTATATGATAAAAGAACACTGCAGTCTGGAATAATTTAACATATGCTTAACTAAACCACGCTCTCACCAAGTGATTTTCCCCCATCTCACAGGCTTCTTGAAGGTTAATTTCAGTCATCTGTGCAAAAGCACAGTGTCCGTCTGGCACCTAAGTGTTACCTGGAATGCTGATGTCTGGGTCCAAGTTGCACCTGGCCACCTGGAGCTTCATATGGCTCTTCTACCTCATACACATTTGCATCGGTGTCCTCCATGCTTCTGGAATTCTGCCATTCTAACTCGGGAGTTTTCCCCATGGCCATTATAAATGGCAAGTTCTCATACTCTGGTATTTCCTCATAATGGCGTACATTTTCATACTCTGGTGCACAGCCACTCGTAATAGATTTGCAAGGCGCCTGAGATGAGGACTCCCTGGAGAGCATTTGATCATCCAAAGACTCAGCTCTTGGTCCATTAGCTGCACTGGTCTGACCCCGAGACTTCTTCCTCTTCTTTTGGGATTCTAGGCTGTAGTTATCTGCAGAATATGCCTTGATGGGTTTACTTCTCTTCTCTTCTACCAACATGCCATGCCTTTCACTTTCATCACTTTCAATTCCTTTCCTCTCCCCACCTGACAGGCTGCCTGCGGTTGTGTCTCCAAGCTGGCTATTCTTGGACCAAAATTTCTGGAAGTCACTCTTCATGAAACAGATGGACAGTTTCATGTTGAGCAACTTCTTTAAAGAGTTCTTCTTTTGAGTGTCTTTGCAAGGCTTAGTGCACCTTTCCGCATCCATGGCAGATAACGATTTTGCTCTAGGCTTAGTTATGGCAGTTGAAAGCTCACTATTTGATGATACAGTGACAGACTTTAAGGATTCCGGGTTCCCTGAAAAGGGTAAAATAGGATGAGGTAATTTCCACACTGGCTTTTCTGAAGCCCGTTTAGGCATATCAAAGGAAGACGACATACCGAGGTTTTGGGCGCACAAATGCCGAGGGTGATTTCTTTCTAGACCTTTCTCTGAATTATTTTCCTCATTTGAGGGATAAGAACTTTTTTCCACAAGCTCCTCTGAGGCAGCCTTTTTAAGCACTCCTGCAGCAGGCAAGCTGTGTCTTTGAGGTTTTTTCGGGACAATCCTTGAGGAAATTTCACCTTTTATTGTAGATTGCTTTTGCATTTGAGGGGCAGACACTCCCAGGTTACAGGTGGTAGGCAAATGTTCATTGCAGGTTAATTTGAGCTGCTTAGGCAAGCTCATAGATAAAGTACTACATCTTATAAAACTGGTCCCTTTGTCCACAGCAAGTGACATACTAGAACCATCCACTGTCTTGCTGTCAGAATTTAAATTAGAATCTGTTTCCATTTTTTCAAAGGAAGATGTTTCATGACACATAGCTTTCTGTGGATTGACTAAATTTTGTCTGTCACCATTGGAGTCCACATTCAATTCACTTTTATTTCCTGGCTTCACTTTGTCCACCTGTTCCTTGTTACACAAAACATTCTGATGAAGAACACTGATTTTATTGTTTTTCAAACCAGCTTCTAAAAGACAAGAAGAGTTACTGTCTAAATTCTCTGGTTCTTCAGTACTTTCACTAGGAACATCTATATACTTTTGACGTAACAGACGAGCAGCCCGTGTCTTTCTGGGCTTGGGGGTTGGAAATTTGGGAGTATATGGTACTAACTGAATTTCTAAGGGACCAAGGTCTTTGACTTCTGATTTCTTATTAACTCCATCTGAAGATAGAAAAGTACTCCTTTTACCATTTTCCAGAGCTTCTTGTTCAGATGAATGAAAGCAAGTATTGCTTTTTTCACTGCTATGCTGATAAGTTTCATCACTAGGAAGCTGTAGGTGGCAGTGGTGATGATCAGGAACTTTTTCAAAGCTGGACAGGGAAGGTGACAAATCTGCAAACTCAACTCTGAATTGTCTGTTAGAATTATAGCCATCATTAATTTCTGAGTTGTCTGTGGATCTGTGCTTCTGTAGGGAAATAAAAGGTAATGTTCGTTGTGTTAAAACATTTTTAAGCTTCTCTTCTAGGATGTTTGCCTTTAAAACTACTCCACTCTGGCTCTTGACATTTTCAACATTAGAATCACATTTACTCCTTGTTTTTATAGCTGAAGAGAATTCATCAATTTTACTATTTTCTAAATTTTCATGCATTTCCAGGGGCTCTAAGATAAGTTGCTTTACACACAAATTCTCTCTATTCCCAAGTTTATGGATACACTGAGAACTGCATGAACACATTGGTAAAATATAATCATTGCTCTGATGCCCTACATTTTTACAATTAGAGTTGTCGGCATTTTCAGGTAATTCCTGTTTGTGCTCTTCCAGGTTCACAATGATTTTCCTTGATGGTGACTGCCCAATGTCTCCAACAGGTGAGCCCTTCAGAACTTTTGGTTTTGGGGCTATTGCTGGTTTGGTTTTCTTTGTTGACTGTGGAACACTAGAGATCACAATATCAGGTTTAGGTGCAATAGGAGGTGGAGCTGGCTTATTATTTGCTACCACAAACTTTGGCTTGGGGGCCACTGGTGGCTTCTTAATCTCTAGAAAGGAAAAAATAATAATTTGATGACAAAAACAAAAAACCCCAAAGCAAAAGATGATAAATAATTAAATTTGATAACATTTTTTACTTTTTTTGATAATATGGTGAACTTGCATTTTACTAGGTAGATTATGTTACATTAAAGAGTCAACATTACTCTTGAAAATTCCTTAAACTGCCATTCAATTCCAATATACAAAGCTCTGGGTAGAGTGTACATTTCTTAGCAAGTCCAATACAGTTTTCCTTCTAGCTTTGGAACAGATTATCTTCAGTAGACACTAAATGAAATCATTGCTATAGCAGAAGAAAGCACTTCAGTTCATCTGCTGAGTGCTAAGTGAGTGAATTTGCCTCAGTTACATAGAAATGAAACCCTTAAGCTTACATATCAATAAGTAGTAGTATTCTTCCACCCCAGTGATATACCAGAGTTGTATAAGTGCCTTTTCTCAAGAATCTACCTCACTAGAACAGCAAAACAATATTAAAAAGGAATACAGAAATCAGAAATTTTCTAAACTTAAAAACAAATCTAGTTCTTCTGTATTATTTGATTAATTATAAAGTTGGTACTTCTCTGTATGGATACTGTCATTGGGAATTTTTATTATAATCCTTCACAGAACTTTATTTTAAGTCATGTGTATAGGTTCTACGCCATGTCTAATCAATCAGTTTCTGGGCATACAGCCTGGACATGGGTATTTCTTTTAAGTTTCACAGGTGAATATACTGTGTTCCCTTTATTAATAACCTCTATTCTAGCGCCTTTAAAAGATGAACACAATTTCTATTGTAGCAATCCTTCCTCAACATTATATAAAAAGCACTTAATAAACACCTATTTTTTTTTTAATAAACACCTAGTATACTATGCTAGATTTGTACAGACCTGGTCCTAGCCTAAAGGCACCTAGTAAAAGCCTCACACAAAAGACCTATAAGATGAAGATACAAGGGGCCCAAACATCTGTTGTTGTTTTTTTTGTTCTTTTTAAGTTTTTCTACCTATACTATCACATCACCTAGTCACATTTCCCCAAGGAGACCTGAAGTAAAAATACTTTATCTTATACTTCTTACACTTCATGTTTGTTCCTCCAACAGGATCTAATGCTTAATAAAAATTTCCAAAAAAAAAAAACCCACAAATTTTTCAAAATATATGTTAGACATTAAGTACTTGAATACACAGAGGCTTTGATACTTCATTTAGTGATTTTTTTTTTTTTCAACAAAGGAAATTAGTCACAACACTTGGGAAGATATTATATGAAGGGGGGAGGGAGAGAGAGAGAGATAGAGAGAGAGAGAATAGGCAGTTCTATTTCCTTTTACCAACCATTTTCCCAAACCAAGGTCACATGATAACACATGCTTTCTCATTCAATTCCTGGGTGTAATGTCCTGATAAAGAAGATAATAAAATATTTCCAAAATAATTTAATACAAATTTCCAAAGCTATACAATTTGTTAGCTATTCAATAAGCATGTTATTTTTAAGTAGAAAAAATTGTAAAACCATTCAAACCCTAATGATAAACTTTGCTATAATAGTCTATTAAATTAAACTACTGACCTATTAAGTCTTAAGATAAAAGTATGAATGCCCAGGGCCTCTTCCAAACCTCCCACCCTACCCCAGATAATGAAACATGACAAACTGTCATGTTGATTTCTGTAACCATTCTTAAAACATCCTACGTCTGGGATTTTTGAAGGAATTAAAAAAAAAAGTCAGTTTTGCAAGATGGAAAGAGTTCTGGAGACTGGTTGCATAGCAACTTGAACTATACACTTAAAAACAGTAAAGATGGTAAATCTATGTTATGTGTATTTTCCACAACTAAAAAACCCCCAAAACAAAAACCCAGTCTCATCAAATTAATCTTTTACTTTCTCAATCTTATTGCCTTGTCAAAAGCCATTTAACCAATCAATTTTTGCTTTTTAGTCAAATTGTTTTTTAACCTTTGGTACTAGTTTTACTCTTTTCTTTAAAAAAAAAAAAAACAGTACCCATTTAAATGTAGAATAGTATTTTGAAAAGTTAGCAGGAATCAACTTCAATAGGATTATTGAATAAATTTTTAATTATTAGTAAGAGCAAGTGTTCAACTCACTGGTAGCACAATATCCAAAATCCTTTATTATTATTAGTAGTAGTAGTAATATTTAGTGGCTCTATTTTGAAAGAAACAGAACTCAAAAAATAACAAGCCATTATATTACAGCCTGCTCCTATGTCACTCTTGAAGTAAGTGCATGATGTTTAGAAATGCACCCAGCACCTTTGGATTTTAATACTTTATCAACATTTAGACCCAAAAGCTGTAGAGCAAAGCAGCAAATCTTTTATTTACACAGCTGTTTGGCTCCAGGGAAAAATAAGGTAAGAAAGTAAAGCACTGGTACCATTTTACTATTACAAACATACTTGTCCTGTGTTACACACAGATGGCTGTGGTTCGTGTGCACACTTTCTTAGCTACTGGACCAGCCAAAAGGCAAAGCACAGGCATTAATGAGGCTGTATGTGTTTTAAAGGATACAAAATATACACCGATAAAGATCTCTCCTTTTTCATATACTGAAACTAGAATAATTCTAAAATCTCTATTATGGGCCTACTCATTCACAGATGCAGAAAAACAAAGCAAGCTCTCCTTCAGGATACATATAACTCAGGATGTTTACAACATTTATCTTATTTTTTAATTTTTTTAACATTTATCTTATTTTAAAATTAAGCCAACCATCCCAAATACCACAGATTAAGTCAATATAAACAAACATCCCCTCCCCCAATTGTAAATAATATTCCTAAGGTTTTAAAGAATTTGATTATTATACCAAAAAAGTATCAGAGAGATTGTAAGAATGATGAGCACATAATTTTATAAGAATGGAATGGAAATAAAACCCCAGTTTTCTTCCATATTCTCCATTTAGACATGAGAAAGAATTATAAAAAATCTTAACAGATGGGTGAACAAAAAGGTAGTTAATGCTTCTCAGCAAGCCAGGCTAAAAACCAACTAACTCAGCTAAACACAGGAAGTGTTCCTCTTTTAAACACCACAAAAATGTCTGTGGATTTCTTTAATTGTAAAGTTGATAAAATATAAAAATAGCTTGCATTATTCTAGGGTAATACAAATCAAAGCATCATAAACTTCCAGATTGAACCCCCGATCAGATTTACACATCTAAATGTCAACTTAAGTGCTTCTGTACCTGTTCATTATTAACTGTTAGGACTAGAATTGAAAGTGATACATTTAAGGAATGAATATTTTAAATGTGTTTGACACTCCAAAGGAAGGGAGAGCTAAAATGGCTGGAAAGATTTTTAAATATCCAACCACTTTAAATTTAAATTAACTGTACTGGGTCAGTAATAAAGAAAAATTGAAAGGTGAGGCACCGAAATTTAAGATGAAAATAGTTCACCTCAAGTAAGTAGAAAGTCTCTCCTTAGTAAGGAAAAGAGAGTTTATAAATAACTTCCACAGTATATGATAACATATCTCCTATACATACATATAACATTAAAAAGGAACGATGCACAACATCTTCAGGAATATTTCACTCCTTGCTTTCTTATTCCTGTTGGCTAACTTCTTGCCTTGTTAGTTGTAATCTGATTACATCTAGCAATGCAACACTCCAATATATCTATTTTAGAAAGAATACAAATCAGAACATTTATTAGAGTGCTGTTTGACAGCTTCACCTTGCAGGAATTTAGAACAAATGCCAAGAAAAGCAAAGAAAATTTAATTGTACTTAAGTGCTGAATCTAGAAGTAACTTTGAGGGGAAGCCTTACATTATTTTACTACAAAATTTCTAATGAAAGTGTTTTTCTTTCAACATGGGCAAAAACATATAGAAAAAACCCCGCAATACTTAATATATTATTAAGTTCTGGTTTAAAAATTGACCTAAGGTCTTGCAAAGTGATTTTAATCGTAATTAGCAATTACTTTACTAATTATTTTTGGAAAATAAGAACTGTTCCTTAAGACTGTTTAGACATACAACGTCGAGAATTGCTCAAAATCCACACAAAGGTAAATTACAGGCTTTGTCATTTGGATGAAGAGAAAGGACTATGGAAGGCAGACAGAAAATAAGGCTTCGTTTACACTAACCAGGTAGAAACAGAAAAAAATCCATAAAAACTGGGTGAAGATGAGCAAAAAATTGCCATCGACAATTCTACTCCTCTGCTTCTCAGGTAACAGAGGAAAAACCACCAGGACAGGAGCCACAAAGTCTAAAGTTCTCCATCTAATAAGGGTCAGGGTTTCCAGTAGATAACTAGGTTCAAAGCGACTCAGCGTAGTGGCTGAGTTCAACAGTCCGGGAACACTGCCTTTCCTAGAATAACAGATTTCTTAACATGGGAATCTAAACTACTTTCACACGCAAAGGCAAAGTCCCCCAAACTTTAGGAGGGACGAGCAAATGTTTCCCTCTTCATATTTCGTGATTCACCTGGCGCAAAGAGCTCCCAACACGGGTCTCCGTATAAAGGGAGGTCCCAAGAGATACACGATTTCCAACCAGCCCCTCTCGGCAGGAAGGGACGAGAAAATCCGGCAGCACACGCTGTCTGCTCCGCACTTGCACAGCCCTTGGGAAAGGTAGGCGTTAACCCATCCGTGAGGAGAAAGTTGCTCCAGAGCCCAAGACTAGCAGCGCTCCCTACAAACTTTCCAGCGGCAGCGCGAGAGCCGTCACTTACCGGCGGCAGAAGTCATGATTCCCTGTGCAGCTCGCTTCGCTTCCCCGCTCGCCCCCCTCAATCCATGCTCCTCTTACAGTCCATTGTTTCAAGAGTTTGAGCAGAAGAGAAAAGCCTCTGCAGCGCCCGCATTCCGTCCCGCTGCCCAGCGGCGCAAAGCGAGCGCCGCACAAAGGACGCGGCCGGCTCCAGGGACCCGGCGGCGC